CTAGCTAAAGGTCACGGACACGTTTAACTTCTGCAGCTGGCTTCATGCCACTGCGTAAGTCTTTGTCAGGGGTCGTGCTGGCCTTGGTGGTGTTACGTCGTCCGGCTTTGACAGAAACAAGATCCCTTTTAACCCGTGTGGTTTGTGGGCAAGTACATGGCAGTACCTTTCTTTCCATGAGCTGGTTCTGATGTTTATCTTCTCAGACAGCCTGATTTTATTGTGTTAAATGCAGTGTGGACCCTGCTGGTCTACGTGGCTGAGGGTACTTCAGTCAGGTACTTCAGCCCTGAGTAACAGATTTGTCTGTCCTCATTCTGAAAGGCACAAGCCAACTCCACAGAGTTACACAGAGCGGTGTGCCAACGAACCTTCCTAGCTGAAGGCCTGCATTCTGCAGTTTGTTGTGGGGAGATGCCATCTGATGCCACAGCCATTTCAGCTGGCCAGGTCTCTAACCTGCGAGCCAGGGAGCGCCCGTGTCTGACGGTGTGGATCCACTGTCCTTTGCAGCCCTGCCCACACAGCCAGGATGCTCTGCAGGAGAGCATTGCCCACCGCTGCTGCCGTTAGCTACTGCCTAGAGGAGAGCTACCCTTAGAGGGATGGACCCCTGCATTTAACTTACTGCTTTTGTTTGAGTCCTGATTTGGACTCAGAGTAAGAGAATTCTTCATACTAGCCCAATGCAGATATGAAACAAAATATATTGTAAAACGTTCTGCACGCTCACACTATTGTTGCAATCAACACAGAGCTCTCTGTTGTCCAGAAAAAACACACATGCCTAATTTCATGGTCTCTCATCCTTTTAGGATGTTTCCAAATCTCTGTCCCGCATCCTTCCCTCTGCCAGGGCTGAGGAATCCCTGACAGCCTGCAGGTAATGAGGGACTGTGTGCCCTCCGGCAGGGTCAGAGCATCAGTGGCTGCCCTGCCTCTCCTCCTATAGCATCAGGGCTGGAGCATGGGTCAGACCAAGCCACTTCAAGGGTCAACAGCAGGAACGTGTCTATTTGATCCCTTCCTCTCCCCAGAGTCTCTGTGTTTACTCACATCTTTTTTGCTTGGACGTCGTCTGGGAGGGGGACACATCTTTTCTGGTCTTACAGAGCTTAAAGAAAAAGGCCTCCAACAGAATTCCCAAACCCAAGCGGACGTTCAGCCGTGCTGAGTCATATTTTGTTATTTTGGCTGATTATCCAGCCAGCCATGCAAAAAAAACTGCAAGGGAAAAAATGTGTGTGAATATCTTATCTGTATGACAGAATGAGGACTTGGGTCTTTGTATGTGTAACAATAATGACCCAGTATTAAAGTGCTCCAGTGGCTGTCATATTTGTAGTCTAAAAATGGTAGCAAGTAAAAAGAGAGAGAGAGATATGTTGATGTGTATCCTCTCCTTTTGTTTCTCAGGGCAAAAATTCTGCTTTCTCGTTTAATTTCCAGTGCACATTTGCAGTACTCTGCAGAAAGAGGAATATGGTTGTGGTTAATTGTTTAAATATTCTTTAGTCCTGAAGCTTTCAGAACAAATCATCCCTTTTGAGAAGCTAGTTCAGAAATGACACAGGCAAGATACATCACAAGAGAATGTTGGACATGAAGTTAAATGTGACTCAGAGAAGAGAAAGAGAAGGTGTGGAGGTTGTTCTAAAGAAGGAAGGAAAGCCAGCTATATTATTAGCTCTTTCAGCAGTGTACGTGGCAGCAGTTCTCCTTGAAAAAAAAAAAAATGTATAGGCTTCAAGAACTCAGATCCATCCTTGGTGTAACCATAATGGAATTACGGTTGGATCAGCAGCTTTGCTGGTTCATAAGTCTTCTAGTGTTACTGAAAACAGATACAACCCATGAGCATTACTTGGTCCAATATGCGTTTACTGCCAGTGTTTAATATCTGTCTTCACAGTAAACAAGGAGAAAGTCCAGTCATCTCGGAAGATGCTTTGCATCATGCAGTCCAACTGGGGCAATTATTAGCTATTCTCAGCTCAGAAGAGCTACTCTTAAAGCTAGCTGAAAAACAAACCTGTGCTTGGTCTTTGGGACCCCACTGTAACCGTATAGTGCATTTGTATGCAGAAAGTAAAACATGGATGGAAAATTACCACTTCAAGACAACTGCAAGGTGTTTTGGGAACTCTGAGTAACGAGATGAGTTTTCTCACAATAATGCTGATGTCCAGTGCTTAATCATACACTTGAAACAATTGGGCTCAGACCTTATGAAAAGTGTTTACTTGCTCGGCTTTAAGTCACAGGCCAAGAAATAACTTGATCGGATTAGTCGGGGTTGAATAGGAACGGCAGCACAGAGAATCAAATGAGTGTGAACGGTGCCGCCGTACTCTGCGTTAGAAGAATATCTGCCAGCTGCCGTTGCAGCGCATAATCCTGCAAGATGCTGACGCCTCCGGTTCCCCTTCCCCGAGGGAGCAGGCGGGGCTGCTGTGGCGTGCGGTTCCCATCACTCACCTGAGTGAGTTTTTTCTCTGAACTCCTTCTTTTCCCTCTTACATAAAAGTCGGTTCTTTTGTACCTCCTCTTTTCGGAAAGGCTCTCGGCGCTCGCAGGGTCGGGGTGCGTGGCTGGTTATTCTCAGCCGCAAGATTACAGCGATGGCAGCAGCAAGGTCAGTGGGGCATGAACACAGCTCAGCTGGAGAGCAGATGTGAGCAGATCATTTAAGGGAAGCAGCTGAAATTCTCAGAGCCAAATGAGGATAAGATGAAATTTTGAAATGTAAGCGCTTTGTTTAAATTCCTTTTTACTTATGCACATTATACCTGGAGCACTGCGGAACTGAACACACTGAGAGGGGAAGGAAGTTTCTTAGGCTTGAACTTGGATGCGTGAAGCCAAAGATATAAAATGAGGTCAGTTAGCTCAGCCACAGCGAATCCTTTGATATTCATTTAATGGATAAGTAGATAAAACTCTAAGCAAGCTCGCATGCGAGACTTTGAATTTAAACTACCAAAGCTCTTTATAATTTTCTCGCAGATTTCTCACGTAGGGTTGCACCACTGCTCAGATAACGAGTGCCACTCCGCTCCTGCTCCTCTGCTGGAGCACAGCATGGCCACAGGGCTTCTCTCTCCTTCCTTCTGCCCACAGTGGAGCCGAGAGGTGGGCTGGCGCTGGGAAATGCCATCGTCTTGGCAGTGCTTCAGTTGGAGATCTGGGCTGGAGTCGATAAGTTTGGATCAGCAGCTGAATTCTCCTCTTCTGCTGGGAGGCTTTCAATCTAGTTTAGACCTATCTCTAATCCTTTTGTCATAATATTTCCTTTTTTTTTTTTTTTAATAGCTTCCTTATGTATTGAGTTCCAGAAATTCCAGGCTGGTGATACACATGAAAAACAGATTGCAACAGAGAGCAGATTAAATTACTCAGGTCTAGGATTACTGAGGCAGAACATTTTTTTCTTCATGTTGTTTTAAAAGAGAAGAAGGATCTCTTTTTTATTTTGTATTTTTGACTGGAAGGAGTTTGGGGTCAGTGAGCTCTCCTTCCACAGCAGTCACCTGAGGAAAAAATAATGAACTGTTGTGTTGGCTTTTTTTCCCTTCTTCATTTGAAAATCGGTTCTTATCAGTGCTGCATATTTAAGGGAGTTCTAAGACTGCAGCCTGATGCTTCAGGAAGCTTTTTTTAGGAGGGAAGGTTTGACTGAGTGCCAGTAGACAGGGCTAATCGTCAGGACATCTGGATTCACTTCTTAACTCTGCTGCCTGACCTTGGTCAATGATTTAGGTCAAGCTTTTCCAAAATGTGCCTTGTTTGTAGGTACTTGTGCTAGGTTTCAGCATTACTGAAAATTAGGCTGTGACTGTGTTTACTGTTTTAAATCCAGCTTCTCAGAACTGGTACACTCTTAAAAAGAGACAGAAAGAAATGTGTGCCCTTGTTTCCTTGCTTGTACAGCAGTAATAACGGTGTTTATAGGCTGCACTGTAAAAGCAGTAGAGGAGGAAAGGGATGGCAGCAAGCCACTTGCATAGCATCAGAAAAGTAGATATGGTTAATAGAAAATCCCAGGGAGCTGCACAAGAATCAGACTTCCAAGGTCTCCCACTGTTCATCTGGCACCGCCTAGTTTGTTCCTGAGGCAGCACCCCAGGATTTGCTTGTCAAAGAGATGGTAGATCCATCTTACTTTCAGAAGTGATGGGATGGTACCGCACTTCTGCAGCTCTCCGAACTCCAAGAGCGGTCAGGAGCTGGAAGGGGCTGCCCAAGGAGGTCGTGGAGTCATTGTTCAAGAAATGATTAGATGTTGTACTGAGGGACATGGTTTAGTGGGAAATATCGGTGGAAGGAGGACAGTTGGATTGGATGATCTCAGAAGTCTTTTCCAACCTTGGTGATTCTGAGATTCTGTGATTCCAAGATCTGCCGCAGGTGGACTTTGAAGGAATGTCATGCAGCCCATTTTTCACCTCTCCAGAGCTGTGCAGTCTGGAAGTGTTGTCCTGGAACCGTCAGACACACTCCTGTCCCCTAGGAAGGCTTCTGCTTTTACTCTGCAAGTCAAGCAGCCCTCAGGCCCTCACTGTTATTTTTTCATCATGCACATTCAGCACAAGTGAACACAAAGCCCAGATGCTCATCCCCTCACCTGTACCATCCACCATCACTTGAAACACATTTTGTACATATGCCTGAGAACTACAAAGAAACTGAAAACAAAAGAACATATTGAGCAGAAAAAGAGAACAGCTACGTACATGAATGGTTCTCTTCTCATTTGGCAAACTGGTGGTTGCTGAGGGTTGGCCTCTTTCTGGCAGAAGTGTAGGGGAAGGTATTTAGCTTGACCAGGTTGCTGATTTCCTTTACCATGTAATGATTACATTTATTCTGCACACAGGGAGAGCACAAGGCCTAAGAGAAGTTAGTTCAATGACATACAAACTTTATGGGATGAGTTTCAACCGTAGTAAAGAAAACAGTATCGTAGAATGGTTTGGGTTGGAGGGGACCTTTAAGATCATCTGGCTCCAGCCCCCCTGCTGTAGGTACTTATAGACACCTCCCACCAGACCAGGTTGCCAAAAGCCCCATCCAGCATGGAAATCTGAGTGATATTTAAGGGTAACACATCCAAAAGGACAGCTTTGGCATGTTGGTCCTAGTGCCTACACAGCTGCCAAAACAGACCAAGCCCAAGAGGCACGCTGGGACTTCTGTCAGTTGTGAGGACGGTTGCTGCAGGTTGTGCCCTGGCCCAGCAGGCAGCGTAGGGCTGTGCACAACCACCATGGGCACGGGTCTGGCACTGCTTGGCTATCAGACACCATTGGGTTCTTCTAAAAAGGTGTTAAGATGGTTTGCTCTGAACCTATGCTGGATGAAACCATGACTGTATCCAGAATCTGGGCTACGAGTTTATGACCAGCTGTTTCCCATCTTGCTTAAGCTGCAGAATCAAGTTGGTGTTTTGTTTTGTTTTGTTGATTTTAGCTTGTTGGAGCTGCTTTTATCATTGCTGAAATTTGTTGGGTTAACCTCCACACACGCAAAATCATTACCTTCTGTGATTTGCCAGAGAGGTGAATAAGATGGAAGTACCCCCATATGTCTGTGCATAACCACAGGCCCTTGCACTGTCAGGATCATACAAAAAAAACCCAGAACTTTAAGAAATTGCGTGTTTTCTGGAAATTTTGGAGAACGTTCTGTCCAAAAGCATTCTGGTTGTGAGATTTCAGTCTTACTGCATCTTTGTCTCCATGTGCCTTTCCTGGAAATGGTCATGTGAGAACACATCTCATTTTCTGCAGGAGAATTTGTTGTGAACAACTGCCTTTGCCACTGTTCCACACCAGGGAGAACTGTCTGTATGTTATTGTTTGAGGATTATTTGGCTCTATGTGTTCGGGTCTGGAAGTACAGTGCCTGAATGAGCCAGTTGTGTTAGCAACATATTTATAGGTTAGATGCATGATCAGCATTTTCTAGTGCAGCAGACATTTACCTTTCCTGTACTAACTGCAGATAAACACAGGTACTCATCCAAGACTGCAGAAATGCTATTTGCATACTCATTTTTATCCTCCCCTGCTAATGGCAATGGAATTGTGGTTTTGTGCTGTTGGGGCTAACGGGCATTCCTGCCTTTGGCCGTGTTTTGAGAATTTTAAGAGGCTATTAGACAAATTGATAGAATTAATTAAATGCATGCTCTTCTTGTTACAGAAACCCTGGAGATTTTTAAATAATCTTCTCTGGAGTTGTATCTTTAGCCTTCGAGGCTTCGCAAATTGCTGGAACAGAACAAAGTTGGCTGGCTATTTTCTCCAGAATCTGACAAAAATCCTAGAGAACACGATGTTCCAGTAATCATCTCTTCTTTTCAAGTGTCTGTTCATGTTTTTAATCTCTCTTCCCTTTCCCTTTGTCAGAAGACAGCATATCCTAGTTAAGAAAAAACACAAAACCAAAAAATAAAGAGAAAACCTACAGCAGCATTGTTCCTCCCCGTATCTTTCATTTCACTTCGTTTCTGTGCTGAATCACGGTGTTCTGATACAGCCTTCTTTGTGGTGTAATTGTTTTCTGAAATCCATTTTCTTTGGGCTCCTCTTGGCTTCTGTCTGAAGCTGTTGCTGCTATAATGAATGTAGTCATAAATCTGTCAGAGGTAACAAGCTAAATGCAGAGCTCGGTGCAGCAGGGAAGGGTATCTGCAGCTCGGGAAGCACATCGAGGTGCTGCAGTTATGGAGCAGGCAGAAAAGGTTCCCTGCTGACAGACGAACAGAAGAGGGCACCTAATTTTTGGTTCTCTCATAAATCCACTGCCACTCCCTTGTTCTGGTTTCTGCAGGGATGCTGTGTGACAATATAGGCATGGGTGGAAAATGGAAGTATGTGGCTGAGGTCCGGGGTTAGGTGTCTGGCAGGAAAGCACCATGTGGCACTGCCAGCTGTGCTGAGGAACACCGACCTGCTCCCCCTGGTGTGGTGCCCAAGGCAACGGTCCCAAAACAGCTGGGGAACTGTGTGTGTGCCTCGGGCCTGAGCAAGCCCGGGACTCCCAGTGCTGGGCAGCTTGGCAGGACTGAGGGCATCGTGATGTTCTCTTTTGAATCAGTGTCAATAAGACTGGCAAAGACCACTAAGATCATCTCATCCAGCCAAGAGCCCGCACCCCCCATGCCCACTATCCATGTCCCTCAGTGCCACATCTGCCCCACCATTTTCTTGAACTCCTCCAGGGACGGTGACTCCACCACCTCTCTGGGCAGCCTGTGCCAATACCTCAGCACTCTTTCTGAGAAGGAATTTCTCCTAATGTCCAACTGAAGTCTACCCTGGAGCAACTTAGAACCATTACCACTCGTCCTATCACCGGTTAAGTAAGAGCAGAGGCCGACCCCCACCTCCCCACAACCTCCATTCAGGGAGCTGTGCTTTAAGGTCTCCCCCGAGCCTCCTCTGCTGCAGACTGACCCATCCCAGCTCCCAGGCCGCTCCCCATCACACTCGTGCTCCAGAGCCCTCACAGCTCCGCTGCCCATCGCTGGACACTCTCCAGGGCCTCCACGTCTGTACTGCAGTGAGGGCCCAACACAGCATTCGATGTTAAGTAAGAGAAAAGGGAAGCAAGGAGACGGAGAAAAGCAACGGGGAGACAAAGATGACGGACAAGGAACAAGGAGGTGGAGAGAAACCATTGTTGAGAAAGGTGCAGTTCCCTGAAAGCTGCAGCATTCCCCGGTGTGATGGGTGAGGGCTGGGCAGTGCGGGAGCACCGCGTCTCTGTCAAGCACTTGCTGCGTGCAGAGCAGCCAGAAACATTCAGAGGCATTCGCTGGTTTTTCAAATGTCATTTACATTAGCATCCTATAATTGAATCAGTAACACTTTACTGAAAAGGTTAAATTCTGCCTTTTAAAAATTAAATCAGCTGTTTAGCTGTCAGCCACAGCCGTGCCCTCCCGTTGCCTCTGGAAGAATTGGCATATTGACATATAAATCGTCTTGCTGGAGAATGCATTATCTCTCTTATTTATGACTACGTTGTGCCACAAAATGCTACTGCTTGTAATTGAGGGCTCTCTGCTGAATTCGTTGCATGTAAAATCTGTGGAAATAATTAATTCCATAATTAAAATACTTCTTATGGTATAGATTTGAAGAATCCCTAGCTGCTGTACATCACTCAAATGCTGAGTTCTGTGAAAGTTTGAATGAAAGCATAACCAACTTTTTTGCATAGAGAATATTTTTAATTGATACAGTTGGAAAAAGCATTCCAGTTAGCTGGGGTCAAGGCTGGTTTTAGGTGACTGATGGAAGCTCCCAATCACAAAGAAATCAGCAGCATCACACTCACCAAGCAATTCCTATCTTGCCATCAGTGGTGTAGCAAAACCTTTAACATTAAAGCTGTACTGAAGCATTCATATGAGCTGTTGACTTCAGGGCATAATTCTTACTAATCCTATATTCCTTTAAGAGATATCCTTAAGGTAACATGATGTTTTACAGCTACCTGATAAATAATCATTTTCTTTACTCAAAGTGTTGCAGTTGTAGATAGCACCTGAGGTCAAACAGCTCTGCAAAACAAAGAGTTAAAAAACATTCTCTCTCCCATTCCCTGTTCAGTAAAAAATTGTGCCATAGCATTGCAGGAAAGATAAAGCAGCACTTCAGCTTTTGGGTGCGTGTCTGAGCAGTCCACTGTCTCGTTAAGGCTGTTGTACTCCATTGCCCTTTCTGTAATCCAGGCAACAACCTTAAATATGGTGATATTTGAAAAGTCTAAAATATAGCTTGCCCGTAAAATGCTCCGTGTGTTGTTTGGGACACTCTGCAAGGAAAGAACAAATCTCTTCCCTCTTTGTAGGATGGATGCAACGATGGATGTGCATTTCTTGGTGGCAATACTGAGCATCACCTGCCATAGGCAGCACGGGAAAGGATGCTGGCAGTACTACAGGTGTCCTCTCTTCACCTGTCTGGAGAGTTCAGGAGTCCTTCTCACCAAGTGCTGCAGGAGAGGATTTTCAGGAGGCAATAAATAAATTTTGATCTGGCTAATACAGTTAAGGTCAAAGAGATTCTATCTGGAGCTATTTAAAATACTCTTAGCATGCAGACACACTGCTGTCAGTAGTGCTAAGTGCCTTACCTTGCTGAGGAGTGTATACAACCCTTATGAAACTATTCTTAAGTATTCTGGTTACTATATTTAGCACTGGCTCATAACAAGACAAAAAGCACTTAGCTAAATGTAGTCCTGAAGTGCTTAATCCGGCTAAGAATATTTTGTCCTTAGGTGTCTCGGGCTGAGACTTTTTATAGCTCCCCATCCTGCTGCATCATGCAAAAAACTTCTCCATGCATTTGAGCCTGCGACTTCTTTTATGGCCATTTATTTTGTCTAAGCTTGGTCTGGGACCGACCGGGGACATCGCTCACCCAGGAGAGATGCAGGGCAGGCTCATCACCCCTCACCTTCGTTGGCCACGCTCAGTGGGATGCAGTAGCTCTGCTGGAGACCAGGGAACTGGAGCCCTGCTCCTCATTTAGGCTTGGTGACACTAGCTGGATCCTGTCTGGTTCCTGGCAGCTTCCAGTTGTCAGACGGCCAATGGGTAAGACAGTGGAGAGGTTTTTGTGCAAAGCTTTGTGCTTGAAACCCAGAATGAATCCTTTTGTTTGACTCAATTTTTGCAGTGAGGGTGGTGAGACACTGGAACAGGTTGCACAGAAGAGAGACTGTGGATGCCCCCTCCCTGGAAGCATTTGAGGCCAGTCTGGATGGTGCTGTGAGCAACCTGGTCTAGAGGGTCCCTGTCTATAGTATCGGGGTGGAACTAGATGATCTTAAACGTCCCTTCCAACCCAAACCATTCTATGATTCTGTGCTTTGGCCTGTGTATGAAAAATGTTTTCTGAAAAATTGTAATAAACCCGTTAGTGTAGATCCAAGTATTTTTTTTAAAACACAACTCATTGTTTTAAAACAATGCTCTATATGTTAGAACTTAGTAAGAATTAGAAAATCTTCAATGTGGGTCATCCTTCTGGAGAAGAAACAATGATATAATCTTGAAAAAATAGCACTGACCATGAGAAGCAGCAGCCAAGATAAGAATTTCAATTGTAATGTAGGTCAATAGGATAGCAAATAAGATCACATGTTCCTTTTGGACTGGGATAGGAGCTTGTAATTTGACCGGCATAGGGCTGCCATGAGACAAGGCAGAGTAGGGCTGCTGTACCTGAGCTCATTACGTGGGTGTTGTTCTCAGCTGCTCACCAAGGATACCAGTCGTTGTGTAAGGTTTTCCCTGGAAGTTTGTGTTCCGAACTGAAAACGACGACTTGGTGTCGGCTGCACGGTTTCCTGTATCTCTTATGGCTGAAACACTTGAAATGTTTATGCATTACTCTCATACTAATGCTATGTCAGGAGCTTCATTTTCCCTTCTAGGTAACGTCTGCACTGTGCTGGATAAGACCCTGGCACACAGTTTTCTTGAGCCAAGCAGACAGACTGACATCATTCCACTAAGCTGCAGTGAGCAGGAGTTTGGCCCATTGTTCCAAGCTCCCCTACAAAGCCCTGTCCCCATACCACAAGACAGGCTCCTGGTGGTAGCAGTGGGTCACACACAGTGAGTTCTACCTCTGCCCTCTCCAGTGCCTGTCATGTGCATTGCACAGTGGTTCTTCAGGGTCTTCCTGGGCTCCTTTCCCTTTGAGGTGCTCTCTTGTCTTTGAGAAGGAAGGAAGCTATTGCTTCTCCTTTGGGTTATCAGAAATGTAGGTGTGTTTGCTTGGTCACTGTGGCTACAAGTACTGGTGGTGTCAGCATTTTGCAGTGCCTTGAGCAGTCTAAAGGTAACAGAAGTGGTGATTAAGCTGTGACTCAAAGCAGGGCTTCAGGGGCATAAAAAGTTCCAAATTTAACATTTGGAAGCACAGCGTTTGGCTCTGGTTGCTGATGCTGCTGTCAGGTATGGCACCTCAGTTCCTCCAGCAGCAGCTGGGCCCTGTGACGTTTCGGACAGCAGAGATGCTGACAGCAGATGCAGACAAACCAGCAGCTCCAGGTCTGGTCCCAGCACCAGGTCCCAGAGTGCTCACAGTCGCACCTGTGCACGATTCTCATCTGCGCTGTCATACTTCTTCAGCCTGCAGTCATTGCTGCTCTTTAGGCTATGTCTTGTTTGCAACTCTGTTTTAACTGGATTTGCTTTTCCTTCCAGGATTAATTTTTCTCTGTCTCTATTTACATGGTGATAAGAAGTGCTAATCCCACTCCGTCAGTCTGGACTGATGAATCTGAGGAGTAGAGCAGGTAATGTTTCACTTGGCTGTTAGCTTGCAGTGACTCAGGCAGCGAGAACCACTCCCTCCACATGGAGTACATTCACATTTGGGGACTGAAAAAGTCACACAGTTTCCTCTGCCCAGGTCTCCTGCAGGAAGGGGATTCCTGGCCCCAGAGCAGGAGAGGGAGGGTGACTTTCTATCGTATTTCACAGAATCACAGAACCGTAAGAGTCTGGAGCTCCACATCCAACCCCCCTAAAAAGCAGTTCATTACAGCAGTGGCACAGGAACGTGTCCCATTGGGTTTGGGTATCTCCAGAGAAGAAGAACCCCCACTTCTCTGGACAGCTGTGCCAGGGTTCTGTTCCCTTATGAGAAAGGAGTCCTTCCTTATGTTGGTGTGGAACTTCCCACGTTGCAGTTTGTGCAAACTGCCCCTTGTCCTGTCACTGGACCTTAGAGCCCAACCCCATCCTCTTGTCTCCTGCCCTTTAGATACCATGAGCAGCATCTTTGGCATGTTCTCAGTTGTGGATGGTTTCATTTTGATTTACCAACCAGAGCCAGTGAGAACGAGCCCCAGTGAAGAGGTCACCCTCATTGTGCTGAATTTGCCATCGTTGCATGGGGATTGAGAGTACCACATCCTTCCTGGGAATTGGCTCCAACTGTTCTCACCTGCTGTGCTGCAGGAGCAGTTAGCATACACCACAGGCAGCAGCCCATGGTGACTGCTTGCAGGCAGGCTCTGGGGAGGCTGGCTCTCGTTCCCTTGCATTCCCTGGGTGATGCCAGCTAAGGAATGGTTCTAGCTTGAAATGCTGGCTGTGAGTCCCCACGGTAGGACGCAGCTGGGGGGTGGTGGAGCCAACAGCAGGCGATGGCTGCAGGGCACTTCGGGTGAACCTGTCTCATATTGTCCCTTGGATCATACCTTGCTGTTGCCTAATACTAATCCTGTGGAGGATCAGCACAGCTTCCTCCTTCCTCCTATGCCCTTGCACCAGGATAGAAATCTCAGGTGCTCCTTAAGCACTGCAGTGAGCTTCAGCAGCCAGGCTGGCTCCCCCAGGCAGTCCAAACACAGTGCTGCCTGGCCCAGGCACCGAGCTGAGATCAGCTCTCACGTTTGCTGGGAGATGCTGGGCAGAATGCAGGGCACTGGTTGGGCTCCCCGTCCCTTGTGTCCCCCTGGCTGTATCAGGTGCTAGCTGGGCTTGCTTGGGACTGGGGCCATTTCACAGGGGGACTGCAAGGTTAGCCGGGGGGCTGCTGACTCTTTTCCAGTTTGGGCATATGGGTTTCATTCCTCAAACCTTTAGGCAGAATAAGCAAGAAACCAAGTAATGGAAAGGAGGCTGGGGAAGTAGATGATAAAACCATCCAGGATGTCATAAGACACAAACCAGTAAGCTCCGTGATCTGACATCCTCGGCAAGATCAGGCAGTGTGTCTCAGTGAGTATTTCTGTCCTTTCCTTCCAGAGCCCTGCGTTGTGTAAACGAACTGATGGATGAAGATGAGAAGGACAGGGCAAAGAGGTATGAGGGGATGCACGGAGCATGGAAGCTCTCCCAGGAGAGAACTGTAAATGCTGTGTTGTGTGATGCTTGAAAAAGTACTCGGGATACTCATGTCAGAGGCAAAATTCAGTGGTTTTCAGGCCATGTACAGCAGACCACATACAATGTAATATGTCACCATTTTCAAGCTCAGTGCTCCTTGGATTATATTGCCTTGCTCTCAGAATCTTGTGTTATCCTATAGCTGTTTATCATCCCAGTGATTCTGTTAGCCTCAGCTGGGGCAGTGCTGCTTAGCACAGGGCACAGCTGGTCTCCCTCCAGAGGAGCTTGGCTCTGTTCTAATTACTCATCAAATAGCAGTGCCAAAACAGAGAGGGCTGCTGCAAATGCTGTGTGTGAGAACCTCTGAATGCCAACCTGAACGTGAACAGGAATGCTTGCTGCATACCACCCTCGGTTGGGAGCACAGGAGCATGTATTGTCATGAATATGCTTGTAAAGAAAGTAAATGACTGCTGTAAGGGGTTGTATGAAAATACAATTATCTGAGCTATGAGCTTTGGAAAGAACATTTTGGAAGAAACTGAATGGATTTACTTTCTTCTCTAATAAAACTCTAATAAAAGCATTCTTAAATTGCATTAATGCAAGCTGAAAACTAGTCTGTGGTTTCCTCAGTGAGACTCTTAACATGCCCAATTTCATAAGTCGTGCCGCTGCTACTGCAGATTTTCAAAGCCAGATAGGAGAGCTTGTACTTGACTTTATTCTGCAGTCAAGTTGCCTCTGCACAGTGTTCTCTGGCAACAAGCTACTTCTGCAATTACAGATCCAGGAAGGAGGCAGCCTTCTTGTTTTGACCTTTACGTGCTTGTATACTAAGTGCAAAGCAAGAGTGGGCAAAAAGGCAGTGTGTGGTGCCAGGACTTTCTTACTGGAGAAATTTCACCTTCGTGTAGTCATCCCTGATTTTGAAAGAGTGAGAAATGCTGCAGAGATGGACGTAAGGAGGCTTGAATGCCTGTAAATGCTATTTGCTACTTGCAGGCATTGCTTGCTGACAGAGTTCAGTCCTGCTGCAAGGCTCCAAGCACCAGCACTGCACTGACACCCAAGCCTAATTCTGTACAAGCGAGCAGTCCCAGCAGAAGCTCAGATTCCTGTGTTTAAAGCATTTTGCTGAGATGGGGCCTTGTGCCGAGCTGCAGACCCTTCATTTTACTGAGTGACATTTACCTTTCTGTCGCGCAGGGCATCACGCAACAAATCTGAAAAGAAGAGGAGAGACCAGTTCAATGTCCTCATTAAAGAGCTCTGCACAATGCTGCAGGGACACGGCCACCCTCTCAAGATGGACAAATCCACCATACTGCAGAGGACCATCGACTTCTTACAGAAACAGAAAGGTAGTGAGGGCACACGCCTGCCCCAAATGTCCCCTCTCCCTTTTCTTGGCTTCTAATGTGTCTGCATTGTGATGATGTGAAAATGGAGTGTCGCAAGTAAGAAGGCTTTGTGCGGAGAATGATCTGAGGATGATTCCTCTGAAAGCCTCTTAAAAGAAATTGTGTTACTTGAAAATGGAAAAAAAAAAAAAAAAAGAAGTCCCGGTGATTATGAGTAATGTTGCTTTTTTGATGCTTTTTTCTTTAAGAAATCACAGCACAGACAGAAGCCTGTGAGATTAGACAAGACTGGAAGCCTTCATTTCTTAGCAACGAGGAGTTCACCCAGTTGATGTTAGAGGTAAGAAGAAATTAAAGCCCCACAGATTAGTGAGAACTAATCAGTTCAGGGGAGTCGCTCAGAGATGCAGTTCCATTCACCTGTGGGTCCCCGTGTTAATGATTTCTCCTCTGCTGGCACATCTAATCCAAACCTGATAGAGACCAGTGCTGTTCTAAATGCTTTGCAGGTATAGAATTAAAAATAGAACTGCTTCCCCTTAAAGAAAAAGGGCATTTCAATTTGAAATGAAGACCAGTTTGTCCTGTATTTGGCTTTGGAAACACCCACCGAACCTGTGTTTTTCCTTTCTTAAGGATGCAGCTTTGGTTCTGTACTGCACATTCCTCTGGTGAGGACTTCTGTGCTGCTGCTCCTCACCCCACCAGAACAGGGTGTGTGCTGGGCCGAGCTGGGAGGTGTGGCGGTGTCTTCGTTACTCCTTTTCATCAGGGTGTCATGACTCACCTCCCTGGAAAAGTCTGTTCTTTCTTTCTGGGAATTTCTTAGCAAACAATCCAGTTTGTTCCAGCTGAACCAAAACAAATTTCCCTCTTAGAAGTGATAGGGGAGTGAGCCCTCTAATAACTTCTGGTGCGCTGGGCTGAGCCCATTGACCAGCTTCAATAAAGTTGGTGGCTTTACCCAGACAGGGCTTATTTTTAGCAAAAGCAGGGAGTCACAGTGAGGTAGGAGTGACCGGCTGCAGTGGACACTGCTGGGTGCTGCTTCTGCATGGCATCTCTGCCTCCCTGCCAACTGGGCTGCAGAGCAGCCTAATGATGGCTTTGGAAGAGCTGGCTTTCTGCACGGTGCTGCCTGCAGGTCGGATGACCAACACCTTGGGAGTGTTACAGAAGAATAGGCACAGAGTCTGGATCAGCAGCACAGGAAGGTGTTGTGAAGAGCAGAGCAGTGCTCAAAGAAGAAAGCAGATGCAGAGACTGAGAAGACACAGAGAACATGGACTCCAGGCCATAAACAGTTGTGAAAAAGAGAGGGAAAACAAATTTTCAAATTCTCACGTCACTTGCCTAGAAAATGAGTGCTTTAAGCAAATTAAATAAGGCTTTAGATCTTGTCCCTAGTCCTGCCCTTTGATCTATGTCCATTAGTCATGGATTGCTAAAAAACAGTATCCATCCATCTGTCCGTCCATCCATCGTGCCGGTTTTGCTGTGATTATATCTAACATCTCCTTACACACTGAATTAGTTAACTGTTGTGCAATTCAGAGCACATAATGAAGTGACTGAAGTCACCAGGATTGTGTGGGTGTAGAAAATTTAACCACCACTGTCTTGCTTCATATAAAATAAGTACTCACTGGGCGCAAAATAGAAGTCAATTTAGTATTAATAAGCAAATAAGAACATGTACAAAGAATGCTGAATTAAACAGCACCTTTTTTTTTTTTTTTTTGCCACATTGAACTATCATTGCCATAAGTGATTTATGTTAGGTTTAGAATCCAACAGTCTAAAACCACGGTGTAATTTAGCCTATTTATTGTACTGGAAGTTGCTGCGGCGTGTAAATCTTTTGTTTTCCTTTTGTCTCATCTTTTGTCATTAGGCATTAGATGGCTTCCTCATCGCTCTGACCACCGATGGGATTATTATTTATGTATCTGATAGTGTCTCATCTCTGCTCGGGCACTTACCGGTAAGTTCTGACAACGCAGTGCATTGCAGGATGGCTCTCCTGCCTTAACACAGCCCTGTCACTGCAGCCAAAGAGCCAGCTGACTGTGAGTGATGGATAAACCCACAAACTCTTAGGAAGCTTCTCAGGAGCCCGTGGTTCTGTGTCAGGGTCTGCAATTTAGCTAAATAATCTGTGTAGAATCACTGTCCTCGTAGCTCACCACCTGACTGCGTGTCTGAAGAAGGATTGGGGTGGTGGTTATCCCACCAGGTATGTGGAAAACCTCATGTCTCTGTGCTGAAGCTCTTCTCAGACAATTTCAGGTGAAAATGTTTGCTCTTGTGATGGCATTGGGTTGTTCTTTTTTGAGCCCAGGGTCTTTAGTACCAAAAATGTTAGAGTTATCCATTTCTGTTGGGTGTGGAAGCTTCTGCTGGCTCCTCAAAAACATTTCTTGCTTTTATCTGGCGTACATTATGCTATGTGAGGACAAATTTGAGCCTGAGTATCCTAACCTGTCTGAACATCCTGATGTGCAGAGAAACAAATATGTGCTGACGTTATGGAAGAACCCCTTTAGTCAGGACGTGTGGGTTCATCAGCACTGGGGCACTTGCAGGACAAGTTAATTTTGCCAGTCAGCCTGAAGGGCCAGGGGAGGAGGTGAGCAGAGCTGTCCCGCTTCTGTCTCATGCTTCCAAGGGGAAAGGTTTCACATTTTCAGTTTGAAATGATAGATTTCACTTCCTGCTGTGTTTCTGTGGTACCAGGGCTCCTCCAGCTTGCATGTGGCTGAACTGAAGGGCAGCCTCTGGGGCCCGTTCAGCCTTTTGCAAATAGATGGCAACCTGGGGGTGAGATAACCTAAGGGTGATATTCTGCCCTCGATCCTTGTGTTAAGAGTCTGCTAGATTGGCAGCATTGTGCTTCGCTGTAGGATGAAAGCATGTGTGGTTGTGTCAGCCTGTGCTGTTGAACATGACAAAGCATTCTTTTGCATCAGTCAGATTTGGTGGACCAAAATATATTAAACTTTCTGCCTGAGCGGGAGCAGAGCGAGGTGTACAAGCTCCTTTCTCCACACGTGCTCATGACAGAGCCCGTTGCAGCTGATTTTCTAAACGGTAAGCTCTTTGCTCGTCTGTTGATGAAGGAGATTTGCCACAGGCAAACAGTTCCCAGAGGGAGCCCCCAGCTATTCAGTTCTCCTGTTTGCCACTGCTGCTTTGCCTCTGTGAATATTCTGAGGTTTGATGCAGTACATCAGCTAATGTTCCTTGCTGCCCATGCTCGATTTGGACAGCATGTACTTTACTGTTTGGCTCACAGGACAGAGGGAAATTGCTCTCATTAGGTATTTTTCCCAGAGTGGGAGTCAGCCTATGAAAGGAGTTTGGGGTCTGGGGAAAGAATGAGGGCAGGAGAAATCCCAAAGGGTTTTGGCAGAGTCTTGTTCTTTAGAAACTGGCAAATCTCAGGGCTTCTTGAGAAGCCCTCCGTGCAATTTAAGCAGCAGCCTTCCTATCTGAGCTGCCCACCTGGGTCTCTGCTGTTGGCTGCTGTCCTGCTCCCAGACTGTCCCCACTGTGCAGGGACAGCTGCCACTGACTTCAGCCCCAGCGTAGCTGGGTACTGCACAGCCATGGGTACCACCACATGCATCCTAAAGCACAGCCAGCTGATCAGTGCTCCCACTAGTTACTTGCTTGCTTGGGGCCACTTGAAGCATCTCAACAGTAGCAGGGTGGGTCTGAAAACGTGGACACAGTCCATATATTGAGCGTGCTAAAATGCAGGCTGCTGGTCATGTTGCTGATGTCTCCCTCTCTTTCTCTCTTTCCAGTGGAAAAGCAAATAGAGTTTTGCTGCCATTTAGCAAGAGGCAGCTTAGATCCAAATGAACCTCTGACATATGAATATGTGAAATTTGTAGTGGATTTTAAATATTTTACTCATGGTAAGTAACATCTCCAGCCTACCACTACTCCTTAGCCTCTCTCCCTTAATTCTGTGTTCTTCTGTAGAGACGTAAAGCCTTGTTTCAGCTGAACAGGCTGTAAACAGCAGGGATGGAGTGTGCTGTGGGTTTGTTAGAGGTTTTCATGTAAAGGAGCTGGGCAAGCTGCTGGTTAGAGAAGGGGCACCAGACCGACCCTCCCTCCATTTGATTCACTGCCTGTTGTGGATCAGTCTACTGACTCAGTTAACTGGAGAAAGTTGTTCTGTTTCACTTGCTGAGTGACACTTTTTAAAAAATGAAATTGTTCGAGCAATTCGTAAAATCTTGGCCCTCTCAAATACTGAGCTTCAGAAAGGTGCTATTTCCTGCAAAGCAAATTGAAGAAAAGGAGAACCTTCTGGATTTCATGTGAACAATTTCCTTGGGGCAATACTCCAGCCTTTTGGTCACCAAAGTTTTTAACATCCAATCGTGACTTCCTTTGTTTTGAAAAAAAAAAAAAAAGGCTCAGGCCAGGATAATGCAGTAGATCTTTCTATATCTTCTTGATTTTCAATTTGAGATTTTAAAGGGACATTTGCAAAACATGCACTGGGATTGAAGCAGAAATGCTAGCAAAGAGGCTGTACTGCGTGTTGTGAGCAATCAGAACTGACTTGTGATGCTTCCCTGCAAGCCAGGGGTAAGTGGTGCAGCCCTGTACAGCCTAAAGGATCATGCTTTGGATAACGTCAGTGTATATCAGTGTGGCATCGTGGTGTGGGTAGGAGTTTGTTGCTTGGGTTTCATCAGTCATTGCACCTGTCCTGACATGAAAAGAAAAGTCTCTCCTTCCTTTTCTTCTTAAATAAATCGTCTGGTTGTGTCTAGTGCCTACACCCTCCTGTAATGGCTTTGAGTCAGCTATTGCACGAGCTTTCAGGTCAGCCACAGAGGAGCAGATTTGCCTCGTAGCCACAGTTCGTCTCGTCACACCACAGTTCTTAAAGGTGAGGGCTTTCCCACTGCCTTACTCCTGTGCTGGGTGGTGGTCTTTTCCAACCCTTATGTTCTGTAATTCATGTGATCCAGCAACACAGACTGGCCATGCTGAGGTCCTGGGAGTGGGAGGTGGTGTTTATTTTGGAAAGAGTAAATGTAAAATGGGAGTTGCATTTGAGAAGAGGTGGCCGTGTGATGGCAGGTTTCAGGGCAGCAGGCTCAACTAAACTGCTTGATAGTTTGGAGCTGCTGAAGAAATAGAGTCCACTGCTCCTTTGTGTAGAAATGCCACCAGCACCTCGAGGCCCTGAGCACTGCAGTACGTGGTGGCTGTGTCCTGTGGCACAGTGCAGCAAGGATGGGGATGATGAGCAGAGGTGCTTCTCACTGCAGAGAGCACTGGCCAGGCCAGCTCGAGGCCAGGCCTGCTCGCCATCCACCTGTCATTGCCAGTGTTCACACAGAACTGGGGAATTTCAGCTGCAGACGAGGCCCTCAGACTGTTTATCTGAGCTCTGAGACTCAGCACAGGATAAATTGTTCAGCCGTTTTTCATCAGTTTCTGCCTCTATAAAACAAGGTTAATGCATTCTTTGGAGGAAGAGAAGCCTAGTGCTTTTAAAGCCCTGTGTTTTTCTAGGGTTTGTTATATATCATATTATAAATGATGCATTCTTGGTCTTGAGAGAGGACTCCTTTTGTCATTGTGCAGAATTAAATGTCTGAAAGAGCCAACTGTTTTGCAGGAGCTCTGCAATGTTGAAGAGCCATGTGAAGAATTTACATCAAGGCATAGTTTGGAGTGGAAGTTTTTATTCTTGGACCACAGGTAAGAGATCTGGTCAAGCAAACTGTGGTTTAAAAATAGAAATGTTTACGTTGCTTGAGATCCCAGGTAAAATAGCTGTAATTAAACTATGTAGATAATGATATTCCAAACTTACTTATCAAGCTTCCTTAAAAGCTTTGCCCTCTGTCATACTTAAGGTGGTTAAGAAATCACATAAGTAAAGGGTGACTGTCTAGAGAAAAGTCCAGCTTCACCAAGGCATTAAGGCACCGATGCTGAGCACCATTAATTCTACTCCTTCTACCACTTAGCTCCTCTGCCCACCATCTGCAGCCCCCAACTACCTGCTGAATGTTTTGCTGTATTGATAAACATTTGATTTCCACCCTGATAAGTGATGGAATTTAGAAAAAGCAGTGGATTAGGTAGTTTAATTGCAGATTTGCTTTTGACTGAATGCAGTAGGGTAGGCATGCGGAATGAAGAAGTCTGGAATGACTTCTTTAAGCTAATTAATATAGGATTCATTTACTTTAGAAGAAGCCGGAGGGTTTTGTTCTCTCTTGCTTCTCTTCATTCAACATGAAAACATAAACACGTTGCCAAATGCTGCCCTCTCCATTCTGCCACCCTTCGCAAGCTCTGCAAAGCGTCGCCCCTGGTAGGTGAGGCTGGAGGAAAGAAGTTGTACTGGAGGGGGAGCGGAGGCTGCGCATCGCCTGCACGTCTGGATCAGAGAGAGGGAACTCAAATAGGGAACAACTTGCATTGCTGCAGTAGGGACAATGCGCTCTTGAAGTGCAGACAGCCCCACTACTGCTGTGGGGTTGGCACAGCCGGCTCGTCGGTCCTGTTGTTGGGATCTCACTGCAGTGACTTTGTTAGGCTTTAATTGGCCTGTCCAATGAGGCACACTTTCAGAATCAGGTGATTTAACAAGGATTCCTCAAAGAGCCCTAAGCCCCTTATGTCACTGTCTGAAGCAGAGAGCTGGCTCTCCAAAGGGCTGTGCCCAGAAGCTGCTGTGAATAAGGCAGGCAGGAGCTTCTTTGCAGCATATCAAAGAGCCTTTTGATGAATGAATCTAGGTTATGACTCAGAGAGGAAGCTCTGCGCCGGGCGTTCGCAGCCACTCCAGTCCCACTGGAATCCCAGTGAGGAGTCCATTGTTGCTGGGAGTGGATTAAGCTAACACAGACACTGAGATGGTTTGTGAAAGCACCGGACCCCAGAACCAGAAGGGAATCGTGTGGGCTGTCTCGTGTCATCAGTGCACACCCTAGGATGCTGTGAAATGTTGTTGGGTATTTTCCTGCTTCTTCTTGGCTACATCAGCTCACAGGGCTCGATCCTAGAAGGTGCCCTCAGTAGGAGCAGTGTGTGCCCGGGATCTTTGATATCATGGCCATGGCATGCGTGGAGTCATGATGAATAATACAGAAAGAATCCTACAGATCTGATTAGATGTTAGAAAAACAGGAAGAACTGTTTTCTTGGTGTTTATATACACACAGGTGGAAGAAGAAAACCTGTGAACTTTGTTAACATTCTGCTTCTGTTCTTTTTTTTCCCTTCTGTTACTAAAAGACTGCAAGGTCTGCTCTGGCCAGGCTGAAAGCTGGGTGCCCTGTCCTTAGGACTGCTGACCCAGCCTCCAGCTCTGCGCTCAGAGATTCACTGGAAAACAGTGCTTTCCATTTGCACAGCCAGCTGCAGGCCCCAAGGCTGGAAGTTATGCTAACAAGGCACTTCCAAATGGTTCCACAAGCAAGCCAGCTCCTTGTCAAATGATAGATTAGGAGCATTTTGTGGTTGCTTTCTCATTTAAAGAAATCTGGCGAAAGTCACGGAAGCATAATACTTCCCTGATCAGCTTAAATGTTTATCTGATGTGCATCTGAAAGGCATTATTGTCTTGAAGATAAGCATGTCGAGAGACACCGGCCAATCTGACAAAGAGACAGCAAGGACACTTTAATAAATACATGTATTATCATAATTAACAGAAATCTGGGTCACACGAGGAAACGGAACACAGTGCTCTATGAAGAGTCCTTCGGCTCAATAGGGCTGTGTTGTGGCTGAGACCACTGTGTACTGAGAGCGCTCTGTGTCTGTCAGTTTGCTATCAGACTGCAGAAGCCTGGCTCTTGCAAACAGCTCCTCGTACTGGGCCGGGTCTGGCAGATCGCTTGGGCTCCGGAGCTCCTGCTGAGCCCTTGATCCTCGCGGCGGTGTGCTGCAGGCTGCTGCCCAGCAGACCCCCATCCATATGGCCTTTTTCTCCCTCTCCCCTGTTAGCCGTTTGCTGCCAGGCTGCCCACGGCTGCGGGGAAGCACTGAGGAGGTGCAGCCAGGACTTTGAGCGTCCCTTCAGGAATCCAAGGCAAGGAAGGGAGCGACCACAGACTTCTTCTGGCCCTGTGTACTTGAATAACCTTTGATGTCCCCAAGGGGATGAACGTGAAGCTGGGTCGTTAGGAAAGACAGGGGAGGACTATCCATTCATTTCCAGAAGCTTCTCACTTACTTTTCCCTCTACAGTCACTGCCCAGATGACATTTATATCCAACCTGCTGGAGAATTTTGCTGGGGCTCCAGGTTCTTACGCACACAAACATCCATAGCGTTTCTCAAGCCATGTCTCACGGGTGTGCTTAATGGATTGAGTCACTGCATACGCACATGCCCTCCCTACACCCACGTAATGAATAGGCTACGAAGCAGTAAACACACACCTTTTCATTTTCTCAGTTTTTGCCTCTTTCTCTCTGTGTCTTTTGTTTGTGTCTGGCAATTTATCACTGTATATTTAAGTGAAAATCTGCTCCCAGGTGGAGGTGCCAAGCGGGTGCATCCGATGGCTTCGGTCCTAGAGTTGTCCTGGTGTTGCAGTGCAGGTCTGTGCTCACCACCTGCCCTTTGCTTCTTTCCTAGGGCTCCTCCTATTATAGGATACTTACCCTTTGAGGTGCTGGGAACGTCAGGGTATGACTACTACCACGCAGATGACCTGGAGCTTCTCGCTAGGTGCCATGAACACTGTAAGTCCATCCACAGTGTGCCCATCTGTGATCTCACGTGTTGCTCATGCAAAGCCTTTTGCTGTCATCTGTCTGGGAAAGAAGGAAAAAAGACTGTCTTAACAGTGCCTCCCTGGGAGCCTGAATCCCTCAGCAGTCACTCAGGGCCCCTCTGTCCGCTATGTATGAGGGCAGCCCTGGTCCTGGGGATGTTGTTGACTGTCACCCTTCCTGGGGACTTTCTGAGAGCCAGAAGAATCTAATGTCACGTGCCACCTGCCCCGGGGCAGAGCGGAGCTGTGGAACAGGGAGAAGGCTCTTCTCCTTCCACCAGCAACATCTGTGGGCACAGAAAGAAGGCCGTGGGCTTTTAGTGCAGATTTTTCTCATTGTTGCATCATTGTGAAAATTTGTCCAGTTCTGTCTAATGTGAGAACACCAGAGAATGTCCACAGCCTTGGCAGGCCAGTGCAGGAGGTGGCAGCAGACATGGTGCAGTGCTCATTGGTGTGGATCTCCAGCTAGAAGGGTGCGGGAGGAGCTTTCTCCCAAAGACTGTATTTTTCCATTTTGTTGCACCCACTTCAGAATCAGATGTTGAACAAGAACTGAGTCTGCCTGCTGGATTGAAGTGCCAAGAAATGAAATGTAATGATGCAATTTGTAAAACACATCTTGGTTATCAGATTTTTTTTTTTTTTTTTTTTGAGAAACACTGCTTACAGGTTTCTTGTTGGACCAGCTTGCTTTTGTCTGTCTGCCATTGCTGTTTGGAAGGAGCTTACCAGCAGGGAACAGAGCTGCCCCAGGCAGCAGGGCGGTGTGGGACCTGCCATGCACTGCTGGCAGTGTGATGCCAGGGCTCCAAGCAGCTCCATGACCCCCAGCACTCTTCAACTCTCAGCTGCAATGCCCAAACCTCTGCCACTGCCCCTCCACCACGGGCACATTTGAGATGCTAAAGGACCTAGCAGAGAGTGGAGAAAATTACTTTCAGAGACAATCTGTTCATGGTTTATGTCTGTGCTCGCCACTGATCTGTCATTATGTTCTAGAGGCATGTTTGCTCAGCACGACGGCAGAAATGGATCTTTTAGCTTTACTGTTCAGACAGGTGAGGTCAGGTGCTGGTGAATGACTTCCAGGAGTTGCTTCAGGAAACCTTGGACCAAGTGCTGGGCAGTCAGCAGCATAGCACGTTAGCCAGAAGGCCTTCTCTAAGTGCTCCTTCTGAAGCACATCCTCATTAATGGGATGGCTGAGAAAGGCAGCCCTGGCAGTTAGCAAAGCAGAGTTTGTGAGAGTGCCCATGTCTCCGTGGCTGGACAGGCTCCTGGCTGGCAGGTTGGCTGCCGTGGGCTGGCTTCCCATCCCACCCACTGTGAAGTGCAATGGGTTTGCTTCAACCACATTTTTATTTCACTTTGCGTTAATTATGGGTATTTTAAGTGAGCATGTTTCATTTTGTACTGCCAGCAGTATGGGAGCAATTAAAGTGGTTATTTAATGTAGTTTCCCTTGTTATGTTCCTGTTATATTACAGCACCTGTGATTTTTCTGGGTATACTCCGACATATACTCCAATAGTCTGTTGCATTCAGGGCAGCTCTTACAGCTCTCAGCGTGACTCCTAATTTCCACCACCATATTATTTGTGCCATTATTAGGATCAAGCCCATCGACTCTGAAATACATCTTCATCTATTCCTGAAAGGCCAATACTTTGTTTAAAGGATATTACTTATGCTTATTCCTTTCAGAGAAGCCCACTAATTAGGTGTAGAAATATAACCAGTTATAAAGTTATGCCAATTAGTAGTTACAAGAAAAATTTCTAAGTATTAAAGTGCACTCTTGTGGAAGTTGTGGAAGTTGGTAGCGGGAAAGAACCCAAAGGAAAGCTGTTGCATGGCTGTGTGCCTCTCATGCTTATAGAGCCCCAAGAGCAACCTTAGCGTGGTAGCAAGGCTGGGGCTGAGCGTTTCTTCTAATCACTTTTGCACCTTGAGCTTTCTGTAGGTCTTTTGCTATAATGTGCTTTCCTTTTGTTTACCAGTGATGCAATTTGGAAAAGGCAAGTCATGTTACTACCGATTCCTGACCAAGGGCCAGCAGTGGATCTGGCTGCAGACACACTACTACATCACCTACCACCAATGGAATTCCAAGCCTGAGTTCATCGTGTGCACTCACCTGGTAGTTAGGTAGGAGCAAGCACCAAGCACTTTAAAGTGTGTGTTCCATGTCCTGGTCCATTATATTTTCCAGTCCTGTTTTGTGTCAGCCAAATATTTGCTGTGTGCATTGGCATGCTAAATGGTATGCAATTGTAGAAAGCTATTACAACAGGGAACCTGGGGAAAAGTGTCATGTGTTTTCACCATGCTTTGGCAGCTGGGCCTGAAAGCCACCATTGTCCATGTCCATCAGAGTGCCACCAGCAATGACATGGCAGGACGAGGAGCCTGAAGCTTTTAACGGTCAGATGACTCTATGGGTGCAAATAGTGGATTGTAAATTTACCAAATGTAAATTGGTTGCAGAGCTGCTCTCCATCATATTTGAAAAGTCATGGCTATCAGGTGAGGTCTCAGATGACTGGAGGAAGGGTCACATTACTCCCATTAATAAGAAAGGGAGCAAGGAGGACCCAGGGAACCACAGGCCAGTGAGTCTCACCTCTGTACCTGGAAAGATCATGGAACAGATCCTCCTGACCAGCACAGCTTCACCAGGTCATGCTTACCCAATCTGGTGGCCTTCTATGATGGAGTGACAGCATCGGTGGACAAGGGGAAGGTGACTGATGTCATTTACCTGGACTTGAGCAAGGCCTTTGACATGGTCCCCCACCACATCCTTATCTTCAAATTGGAGGAATGTGGATTTGATGGGTGGACCACTCGATGGATAAGAAGCTGGTTGAAAGGCCGCAGACAGAGGGTGGTCATCAATGGCTCCATGTACAGGTGGAGGCCGGTAAGGAGCGGCGTCCCCCAGGGGTCTGTCTTGGGACCGGTGCTCTGTAACATCTTTATCAATGACATCGATGACAGAATCGAGTGCACCCTCAGCAAGTTTGCTGACGACACCAAGCTGAGTGGTGCAGTTGTCATGGTGGAAGGAAGGGATGCCATTCAGAGGGACCTCGACAGACTTGAAAGGTGGGCCCGGATGAACCTGATGAAGTTCAACACAGCAAAGTGCAGAGTTTTGCACTTGGGCCGGAGGAATCCCAGGCATCCC